ATCCTCTTTCCCACCCTTAACTGTTCATCCTCTCCTGGTATCTACACTTGCTGTCTCTGTTATTACATCTTCTGATATTTTGGTTTCTGTCAAAAAGTGCAGATGTTCAGTATATATTGAGCGGGGACATACAAAGTCTTTCTTTCATAGTCTGGCTTGCTTCACATAGCATTAAATCTTCTATATTCATCTGCTTTGTGGATATCCACCTGCAGAAAAATGAAATTAAATGCCTATCTCTCACCATTGACTAAAGTTAACTCAAAACAGATCAAAGATCTAAACATAAAAAGATATAAACTCAAAGTATAAAAGTACTGGTGGAAAACATAGAGAAAACTCTTGAAGACATTGGAGTTGGCAAATATTTCTTAAATATGACCTCTAAAGCACAGGATATAATCCCCAAAAAATAGACAAATGAGACTACATCAGGTTGAAAAGCTTCTGCACAGCAATGAAAACACTAATCAGAATGAAGAGTCAAACCTTGGAATAGGAGAGAATATTTGCAAACTATGCTTCAGATAAGGGTCTGATAGCCAAAATATATAAGGAACTTAAACAGTTTACCCCCCCACACACACACACAAAACCACACCCAATTAAAAAGTGTGCAAACTGAGTTCAACAGACAACTTTCCAAGGAAGACATGTAAAAGGGCATGTGAAAAAAAAGTTCAATGTCTCTTATCACAAGAGAAATGCAAATCAAAACCACTATGAGATACTATTTAACCCCAGTCAGAATGGCTATGATTAAAAAAATAATGAACAGCAAGTGTGAGTAATTTCACTCCTGGATATCCACCTAAAGGAGTACAATCAGTCAGAAAAACACTTGCACATCCATGTTTATTGCAGCATTACTCAGAATTGTTAAGACATGGAATCAACCTAAATGCCCAAGAATGTATGACTGGTGTGAAAAAATGTAGCACAAATACACTATGGAATACTATCCAGTCATTTAAAAAAATGAGAACCTGTCATTTGATTCAAAATATTTTTTTCTCTTCCAATAATAGGTTTTAGATAGCTTAATAGATCAATCAAATATATTAAAAAATACCTAACAGTAATAGTGCTTAATCCCACTTATTGAACATTTTTTAAGTTCTTGGTATTGTGCTAAGTAATTTACATAAATTGCATTGTTTATCCTCATGTAACATTATGAAGTATATTTTACTATCCCTTTCTTATATGAGAAAATAGAGGCTCAAAAAGGAAAAATATACCTGAAGGTCACACAGGTATTTGGAGATTAAGCAAAGATTTATTTGTAGTTCTGATCGATTGTAAAATCAACATGTTTTTCACTAGAATATTATATTTTTAACCCTAAGAGAAATTTTGGTTCATATAGTCAGCCTCCACCAATTTTGTGTTCTATCTATGTCATAGGTCATCTTCTGACTTACGATTGAATAATCTCAACAAGGTGGAACTTCTGGATCCTCAAATCCATTACCAAATTCAATTGGCTTTACCTCTGCAAAACCTCTCCAGTCTATTCACTTTCCCTTTCTTTTCTCCCTCAAAAAAATCCAAGCAATTTCTGGACAATGGAAATAACCACTTAACCAACTGGTCTACCACCATTTCGCTCTTATTCTTTCCTCATCTATTGTTCACACATTTCTATTTTGTTTTGTTTTCTTTTGTTGATTTTATTTATTTATTTATTTTCTTACATTTAATCACTGGACATCTTTACAGTGTTTGCCCCAGAGTGAATAGGGTGCATGTTAGTCAAGTCAAAGACATTACCATCAACAGATAACTTTTCTTTTTTTAATCTATTAAATGTTTCATTTGTTTTTCTAAGGTGTTCCTTTCGAGATCACTCTGCTGACTTAATGACTTTCCATTCCTCTCTGTATAACAGAAAATGTCTTGCCATTAACTTTAAGGTCAGAACTGTAAGTGCTGGCTTGCTAAGATCTGATCCAGTTTACCTTGTTGCGTTGCCTAGTTATTAATTTAGTGCTCTTTTATTTTTAAGCAAGTCCAAGGTTGGACAGTGAATTTTATAGTCACCCTAAATCATAAGGTCTTTCATCATCTTGTCCAAATATAAGTAATTATCTCATTTGACAGTTTGTCATTTATTTTGACTAAATGTATAGAATGCATTCATGCATACCCAGTACCTTTGCAGCCTGAGCCATCATAAAACAGAAAACATCAATTTTAGAAATAATAAAAACCGATAAATTAAATTCTCCCTTGTCATATTCTTTCTTCTCAGGTCTTGTGCAGTGTCAATAGGGAATGTGTTTGTTACGATCCAGTAACATGAAACCCTTCTTTCTCCACTCATGTAAGCTTATCTCTCTGTGTAGAACGAACAATCTTACTCTTATTATGAAGAAATCCAACCTAAATAAACCATGTAGTTAAAAAAAAAGAGTAGTTAGAATCAGTTCTCAAAACTTTAAATATAAATTTCCAGGCCAGTCATAGAGGCATAGAAGTATTGCAATGTTCCACAATGATGAGGCCACACAGGATGGTCTGGGTTTATGTCTTGAGGTATTCTCGTGCATATTGAGCACATGTATATGTGTGCCCATAAACCTGGATAACTGAGACTAAGGGGTGGAATGTGGCATGGGGACTCTGTTGGAAGTATCTCTCTCTTTCCTATCTCTCTCCTTAATGTAAAATAAACAATTTTATGGAGCACTTATATACAATTTTAATGTATTTAAAATATATTGTGCAAGATTCTGTTTCTATTGACTGTGTGAGGTAAACAGATCTTCTCCCTGTCCCCAGGAACAATCATAAAGGTGGGCAATTGTTACAAATAATCATTTCAGCATTGTGGAAATTGACCAAACATTTAAAAAAAAACAAAGACTTGAGGGATGGTTATTCATGAAATCTACTGAACTTTGTATAAAGATGGTACAAATAGTCATATGCAAAAGGCTATATAATGAAATTTCATTTATGTCAATATATAGAAAAGGCAAGATAATAAAGATGGAAAGAAAATTCAGTGGTTGAAACAGGTTGGGAATAGGACTTGACTGCAAAGGAGCTCTAAGAAAATTTTTCGGGAAAAGTTTTAAATCTGGTATATGGAGATGACTGCAAACTATTTTATAAAAGTGTATTAAAAGGGACACTTACAAAGGCTAAATTTTATGGTAAATACCTTATACCTGAAAAACACTGTAAAAATATTTTTTACATGAGAGATAGGTAAAAGTGTTGTTGTCATATTGCCTATGTAATAACAAGATAACAAGTAAAATAAAGATAGCTATAGTTGAGCAGGAAAATAGGACAGAAGATGGGATAAATGTAGGTTACACAATCTTCCCTACTTACTTAAACCTTTTGCTATCTCAACACTATTAAAATTTACTAAAACATATTCTATCTATCTATCTTTTAAAAGATACTAAATTTTATCATCTATTTACATTGTTTTCTCTCTTTTTGGTCTTCATTTTTCTACCCTATTGCTTATTTTTTAAATTAAAATCTAAGAAGTCTATACAGCTTTGAGTCATAGATGCAATACTGCTCTTACTTAACTAGCAAAAGAGAACCTATATGATTTTCCATCTTAAATTTCATTCTACAGTTAAGCATAAATTTCCTTGACAAAACCAGTTTCAAACTTTTGTTAGATATATTACCTTGTCTGACTTGACACCCTAAAGTCAATCACAGCTTCCTTAAATAAACCAACTCCTTCAAAGTCAATAACATCATCAACATCAGGCTCAGTAGCAGTCAACAGTATAGGAAACTTCCAGATCCCGTCTGTTACGCACTCAATTTTCAATGTAACCTTAGTCCTTGAATATAAAAAGATATGTTAAAAAGATACTACAAGAAAACAAGCAAAGAGAATAAATATAGAAAATCAATATATAAGGTCAAAATGAAAGTAAGCTATATAATTTCAGTAAAAGCACTGAGACTTTCTTTTTCTTGAGAGAGATTTTTGCTATAGGACATGTGTGCTGTAGACTTGTGTCTCCAAAGAGACAGAGAGATAGAAAGTAAGAAATTATCCCCCTAGGGAGATAGCCACGCCACAATCCCATCTCCATTCTCCTCTCAAGATTTTGAGCACACACACACACATACTCCTGGCATACGTTTTAAGCTACCAGGTCTGAGACTCAAACTGTGGTTGACTATGTGGGAGTCCAACAACATAACCATTATGACATCTGCTGGTCCCTTTTTTTTTTTTTTGAGAGGTTTTTGCTATAGGGTGCATGCACTGGCCAGAAAGACAGAGAGAAACGGAGAGACAGAAAGCGAGAAATCACCCCCCAGGGGTGATAGCCATGCTGCAATCCCTTCTCCTCCATTCTCCTCTTGGGATCTTGGACACACATGCACACGCACCTGGCGTAAGTCTAAGCCACCAGGTCCGGGACTACGAACCATGGTCGACTACATAGGAGTCTAGCGACATAGCCATTATGCTAACTGCTGGTCCCCCTCACTGGGAATTTTAATTCTTTTAAAAATGTAGACAAATATTAATTTCATTTTAGAAATAGTTTCTAGGTCTTACTTTGTATTTTCTTTTTCTCTTTGTGGTAACTTTTTTTTTTTTTGGAGAGGTTTTGCCATAGGGCACGTG